CCTCAGAAGCACACATACTAAAAAAAAAAGTATTATTGTTACTGTATCATTATGGGTTATTAATAGCAGCTAACATTTATTTGGTGCTTACTGTGTGTTTTTTAAGACACTGATTTACCTTTTTTTTTTTGAGATAGGGTCTCTCTCTGTAGTTCAGGCCGAACTCACTATGTAGTTCAGGATTCTCCTGCCTCAGCCTCCCAAGTGCTAGGATTACATTTATTGTGCTAGGATTACATTTACTATCTCATTTAATTCTCATGAAAACCCTACTAGGTAGGTACTATCATTACCTCTTTACAAATAAGGAAAAGGACAAGAGAAAAAATAATTTTAGCAAAACTTTGCAATTAGTAAATAGTATAGGCAGGATATAAACCCAATTTTGTTTGACTCCAAGGCCCACTCTCAATTACTATATCCTTTTACCTCTAAATTTCTCTACAACCAAAATGGTGAGGAAAGCCAAATACAGTGGCATGTTTTGACTCTCAGATTTTTATCAGGGTTTTACTATGTAGTCCAGATTGTTCTCAAACCTGCAATGATCCTCCTGTCTCAGCCTTCAGTGCTGGGATTACAGGCATGTGCCACCCACCACACCTACCCTGATTCTCAGGCTTCGCGACATCCATGTTCTAGAGTTAAATGAGGAAGCAGATCCAACAATTTGCTTCAGGAACATCCTGTAAGTGTGTGTGGGAGCACAGACTGGGGACTGAATCCCTAGTCATTTTACTTTGACAGGACCTTGCTAAATTGCCCAGCTGGCCTTAAACTTGTGATCCTACTGCCTTGGCCTCCTTAGTAGCTGAGTAACAGGTATGTATTCCCAGTGTTACATGAATAGCTTTAACAACCTGGTTTTAAAGTTCTTCCTCAAGGTAATACTATACTATACCCCCAGCCCTTTAGTCATTTTACTTTGACAGGACCTTGCTAAATTGCCCAGCTGGCCTTAAACTTGTGATCCTACTGCCTTGGCCTCCTTAGTAGCTGAGTAACAGGTATGTATTCCCAGTGTTACATGAATAGCTTTAACAACCTGGTTTTAAAGTTCTTCCTCCTAACCAATAAATCCTGCCCTCTGTCCTCAAAATCCATTTCCTCTTATTATATCTTAGTGGAAAGAGAAAAGGACAGATAACACAGACAACATGACCCTTTGTGCATTTTAGACTTCACTTGCCAGGCATGGTGGCACATGCCTGTGATCCCAGCACTCAGAGGAGACTGAGGCAAGGGAATTTCTACAAGTTCAAGGCCAACCTGAACTACACAGTGCAACCACTTCAAAATAATAATAATAATAATAATAATATCAACAAGGCTTCAGTTCTACTCTTTCCAGCCTGCTGTCTGATTTTTTTTGGCGGCGGAGGGGGTGACCCTGGGGATTCAACCCAGGGTCTTATTTTTAATTTTTGTTGTTTTTTGAGACAGGGTCTCAATATATAGTTCAGCTTGGTCTCAAATTTGTAGTAGGCCTCCTGCCTCAGTCTCCCAAGTGCTGGGATTCCAGGCTTATGCCACAAGGCCTGGCTTGAACTTATCTTGAGACAGGGTCTTGCTAAATCACCCAGGCTGGGTTTGTACTTGCAACCCCTCCCCCCAGTGCTGGGATTACAGGTATGCACCCCCATGTCCAGCCTCTGCTCTTCTTCATACTTGCAGTAAGTGTAATAGCAACTACCATTCACTGGCACATATCTTCCAGGAACTACAAACATGCACTGGCCCCTCTTCTATAAGCTCCAGGGTCCCAACTCAGACAGCAACTTACACAACTTTGGTCTGATAGGAAGACCCCTTCTTCTACAACAGGGAAGCAAGAAATCTGGAATTTCAGATAAGTAACAAATTTGTATTCTATTACTACTTTCTTTGGGGAGGGGGCTAGTTTCCATTATCTATACTTGTTTTCTGCTTCTTACAAAGGTGAAAAGCTGGGCCAGGGATCTAGCTCAGTGGTACCCCTACTGGCCTCATAAGCACAAGGTGCTGAGTTCGATCCCTGGTACCAAAAAAAAAAAAAAAAAAAAGTAAAAACCTGGGTGTCGTGGTATACACCTATAATCCCAGCACTGAGGAAGCTGAGGCAGGAGAATCAAACCCTGGGCTGGGGATTTGGCTCAGTGGTTCCACCACCTGCCTTGCAAGCACAAGGGCCTGAGTTCAATCCCCGGTACCCAAAAAAAAAAATAAATAAATAAATAAAAATTCAAACCCTGAGCCTGGTGTGATGGTGCATGCCTATAATTCCAGCACTTGGGAGGCTGAGGTAGGAGGACTGCCTCAAGTTCAAGGTCAGTCTGAACTACACAGAAAAGTCCTGTCTTAAAAAAAAAAAAAAAAAAATCAAGCCTACCCTGGGCAATTGACTTAGCCAAGACTGTCTCAAAATAAGATATAAAAAGCCAGGCATGGTGGCATACACCTGTAATCCCTGCACTCGGGAAGCTGAGGCAGGAGGATCACTGTGAGTTCGAGACCAGCCTGAGCTACATAGTGAGTTCCAGGTCAGTCTCAACTACACAGTGAGATCGTGTCTCAAAAAACCAAAAAAAAAACCACAAAACAAAAGTTATAAAAAAGGACTGGGGATGTAGCTCAGTACAAAATCTGGATTCAATCCCTAGTGGGGATGGAGGAGCACATACCTACACTCCAGGCACCCTTGAAGGTTGAGGCAGGAAGACTGCAACACTGCTAGCCTAGGCAACTTAGTGACATAACAAGACCTTGTCTCAAAAATTTTTTTAATTAAAAAGAGCTAGGGATATAGCTCAGTGCAAGGGCCCAGGTTCAATTCCCAGTACCACACACCCACCCACCCACACACACACACACACACACACACACACACACACACACACACAG